GAACTTTAGAACAACAAGCACACGTCCAGCTGGCCACTCAAAAAATTACGAATGACAAAAAACTTATTACAGCCGATTTCTTATTCAGCGTAAAGAAGTGCTTTTGCAGCACCATTAATCGCATGGCCGCGGTACTCCATTCCAGCTTCTAACGGCCGAACAATCACATTTTCCCATATAACTAATACGTCACTGATGACGTCATTTTAGTCAAATCATTCGGCGGCAACAAAACTACACACTCCGGTCAGAGTAACAGCAATTTTAAAGTCTCAGACAAAAAATACTGCACAGAAACAAAACCGTTAAAAAGTTTTTTGTTAATCAAGATTTATAGTTGTCAGAAAATTACAGCACGCATTAACAAGTGCCACCCTATCAGTAAGAAAAATTATTCCTTTTAAAAAACTTTCCAGGATGACCATTCTACTTTAAAAACACTTCACTAATTTTTTTATCAAGTGAGTTTTTTTCATATAAAAACGCAACTCCTCTGAGCAAATTCTAGAAACACAAAAAACAAATAATTATAACATAGATTACGAAAAAAAAAAAAAACTTAAACTAAACAAAATAATAAATTGAACTACCGGAGAATGAAATGCTCCTTGAGGTGGGCCCATAATATGCTGCATGTGGGGTGGCATTTGCAGCTGAGATCCTTGAGGATGGATATATGAACTTGTTTCCCCGCCTATAAAACTTTAGTTTGAAAAATGAACTTACCCCATTGAACTAAGAACCCATTATTTCTAGTAAGGAAAAAAAGAACTGAATATTTACGTAACAAACATTTTGAAAAACTTACGAAGCAGGTTATTTAAAGTTGGGGTCGCTGCCTGGAGATGCTAAAAACAGATACACCATCAAACGTAAAAAATAAGACTAGGTAAACCATGAAAGATGTATAAAGTGAGAACTGTACGTCTAAATGTAACTTGGAAAAAAAACCTAGGAAGAGAAACGATATCATACAAAAACACTGATTAATTTGTTCAAAACTGGCAATGCGGTACAAGTTATAATGCTGAAAGCCCCGATCAACATAGAAGAGAATTATAAAGCAGAAAAGAACAAATCCCTAAGAAATATAAAAATTACCTAACCGCTGAAATACAAAGCTAAAGGAACTACAACACAAACTTTAAGACAAAGTTCAGTGAAATGTCACAGTTGCGCAAAAGTAAAACGCAGTTGTAGACGTAGACATTTAAACTTAATGTTAAAGCATAACACCATTACAGACGAAAAGGACGAAGAATTAGATTAGAACTACACTAAGACAACTCCTCCTATAACTTAGACAAAAAAAGAGCCATCTTCTCCAAAAATAGGGAACATTTCAGTGAAGAGGTCGCAATAGACTAAAATAAGAACGGAAAACGTTACATACGAGAAACTTCAGAATTACTTCCGAGAAAAGGTAAAAAGTAATTTACCGGCCTTAAACTATGTACTAGGAACCGGAAATGTCAACTGAACCGAGAAACACGCAGAGAACTAAGCCTCCAAAAACGCATGAAAAATCAAAAAAGTATATAGCCGAACCTGAGATGTCATCTCCACAGAGACACCAGAAGAAGAAGGAATCCCAACAGCACCCAACGCATTTGGCTCAGAAGGACGTACAGATGAAGACATTGACAATGCTTGAGGAACTTTCTCCTGCAACAAAAAACCACCATAACGGCATAGCAACAAAATTATCAAAATGAAAAAGAATACCGACAATCAAGCTTAATACTAATTCATTTTCTATCCATATATAATTTATTTGGATTTACACGTTGATACAAAGTTCACAAAAGCAAAATCACTGAAAAGCAAGCAAAAGTCTGTAATCTGTACCCATATAAAATGCAAATGGTTAAGACCTTCACCTAAACCCTCACAATTTGGTCACATTCGAGGCTACTTTCAACCAAATTTATTTCCCACATTATAGCCAACAAAAGAATACAGGCCAAAAAGCTTAAACTACCATAATTTTCAATTATCAAACAATTCTGAGTGATGTAGTGATGGTACTACTATGACTTCTGTTGTCGAAAAATAGGAGGTGGCATATAATATAATAAGTAGCAACTAAATGCCAATTCACTAACGAATATCATCTACGAACTGTCTGTAGACTAGTAAGCAAAATCTATCAAAAATAATTATTTTATCAAACGAAAATGGGAAAATTACATTCCACAATAATCGACAAAAACATAGTGGTTTATTTCAAACGAAACTTACATATTTCAGAACTAGCAAAAATTTGGACCAAAGTTCATCACTTACCTTTACTAAACTATTGAAGTCGGTTAGACACGTGCGTGTTCTTTCATGGAGTTTTCTCTTTTTTCTTTTTTACTTGAAAACTTTATAAAAATTGCTGCTAGTCGTAGCGAAGCCCAGTATAAATCAGCTTTTTTTTTTTTTTTTT